AGCCATAGGGCTTTCTTGTGCAAGAAACCCCTGTCGTGCGTTCACACTGCCCTCTTGCGCAAAAGCTCTTGCACAAGACTGCTTACACTTGTTAGAAAAGAGCATAGCTCTTGTGCAAGAAGGCCTATCATGCCACGCTTTACTGTTAATCTTCTTGTGCAAGAGCGGGTGGGTAGTGTGGATGCTCTGTGGAGGAACGGCCTTTCTTGTGTAAGAACCCGCCAGTGTAGACATAGCCTCAAAGTCTGAGTTCCCAGTTGCACTGACCCTACCCCAGAGGCCTTTGGTGCTGCTGGGGCGATGCCCAGGACCTGCTGTACTGCACAGGGGTGATGTCTGTGAGACTGAGGCCCTATGAGATGCACTAGACAGATAACAATGTGCTCAGTGCTGTACTGCACAGGGGTGATGTCTGATAGCCTGAAGTGCTGTGAGATGCACTAGCCACATAATGTGCTTGGCTGATGGCTGTGTGTGTGTGTGTGTGCGTGGGCGCAAAAGGTGAATTCAGTGCCCCAGTGCATTTGCAGTGTGCACCTTGGATTCCACGCTCACACACTGTACTTTCCCCCCAGCAGCCGTGCCTCATTGAAGGCGCCTTTTCCTTTGTGTTGTGAGAGACCCGAAGCCACATTTTCCACTTACCGCTCCAGCCCCGCGCTGCTCTGAATGATTAACGACCCCTCCTGGGCCTCTCTGGTGTTCTCGCCACGGCACCTGAGAGGGACACAAACATTAAAGACTCCTCTTCACATGAGACCTGTGAGACCTGGGAAACTGAGGCACAGAGGGCTGACTCCTAACAGGGAGTCCTGACACGCAAACGCCCAGCTGTGACAGTGTCACTAGGCATCCCCCATCCCTCGCCCCGAGACAGCCGATGGCTCTGAGGCCGTGTCTCTGTCACAGGCGAAATGTCCTGATACAGCAGGGAACTTTCCTGGCCCTGCTCGGCCCCAGGGGACTTGGAGGGTGACAGGATCTGACCCCTCGCTCACACGCTCT